CCCAGGATATTTTTCCATTGATCTTTTAGGGAGAGTGGAAGAGAGAGGGAAAGACAGAAACATCCATGTGAGAGAAACACACCGATTGGTTGCCTCCTGCACGCACCCTGACCAGGGCAGGGGCTGGGGAGGAGCCTGCAACCAAGGTCCGTGCCCTTGAGTGGAACTGAACCTGGGACGCTCTATCCACTGAGCAAACTGGCTAAAGCGGGATATGTTTTTTTTATTGATTTTAGAGAGAGAAGAAGGGAGAAGAGAAACATTGTTCGGTTGCCTCCTGTTCGCGCCCTGACCGGGGGTCAAACGCATAACCTGGGCATGAGTCCTGACAGGGAATTGAACCTGAGACCCTTCAGTGCACAGATGACGCTCCAACCAAGCCACATCAGACACGGCTTTGGGACCCTTTTTAAGATCAAGAAAGACCTCCCAGACGACCCCTCTGGCCCTCCACCTCCAACCAATACTTCCTGCATCTTAGTGGCTGGAACGGCATCCCGTGCCCACTCCTAACCCATCCCTGGCAAGGGAACAGGCCCACTTCCCCAACCCGATGTGGCTGCAGTGGGGCCAGGCCAGTTCTTGTTCATCTCTATGCACCCGTGCCTGGCCTGAGGTGCCCGAGGATTGATGGAAACAGCCGTGAGGGCAAAGCTGGCGCAAGTTGTCCTTATGTCTTCATCATCTTAGCCACAGCCCTGCTAATTGGACAGCCGGCCTGGCCTGGGGCAGCTCAGGGGGCCTGTTCCAACCCACACATGACCAAGATCAGCACACCCATCAGCCGTGACGGGGCCTCCCACATCCACTGCCCCCACCTGACCGCGTCCAGGGCTGGGCATGACCTTTGGGCACAGCCGCAGGGACTGGGACTAAAAGGCGCCCATTTGATGGAGAGGCTCCGAGAGGGGACGTGACTTGCCAGGTCAGTCAGGGGCAGCCTCAGGTCCAGCTGGGCCCAGCGCCCGCCCCAGGGCGTCTCAGAGGTGCATGAACCACTGGGACTGTAACGTAGTGCAGACACTGAGTCCGTAGGTCGGTGGGACCTGGACTTGGTGTTTCTAAGCAGCTCCCTGGTGGGGGTGCTGGTGCTGGTCTGTAACCCACGCAGAGCTGCAGAGCATCGCCTGGAGGAGCTAGATCTTCAGCTCCGCCCTCAGAAGCCCACAGGCCACCTGCAGGAAGGGTGCAGTGCTGGGGGCAGAGGGGTGGGAAACCCCACCTCCATCACCGCCCTGCCCCAGCCATCCAGGACACCAGAGCTGCAGGAACACTTTATTAAGTTAAGAAGGCGATGGAGCAGGAGGAAAACGCCTTCACGGCAACTCCAGCTGTTCCACGCCCAGCACCCCGAGGGGGAGGTGGGGCCATGGAGAAAGAGGCCGGCTCCCTCTGTCCCTCTGTCCAGAGTCCCAGGGCGCAGGACCCTCCAGGGCATAAGTAATTAGCGGGAGGTAGGGTGGGAGGAGGGTGGCTGGCTCCTTGCCTCTCCCACCAGAATCAACTCTGCCAGGGCCGCTGCCAGATCCCAGGGCAGGGCCTTGGCCCCAGGAGCCCAAGAGGGAGGCTGGAGACAGGGGAGCCAGCGCTGGAGGCACACAGCCACCAGGTATTGCTTTTTAAAAAGTACAACGTGTTTTGGGAAAAAAAGGGAAAAAGTCTATATATAAAAATCTCTTCACATATAAAATCCTGAAGAAGGTGCAAGGTAAGAAGACCCAGTGCGAGGGGCACGCTCAGATACGCAGAGAGTGTGTGTGCGTGCGCCTGTGCATGTGTGTGGTGTACATGTGCATGCCTGTGCGTGTGTGCACCTGAGTGTGTGTGCCTGTGTGTGCATGCCTTGTGGTGCCTGTGTGTGTGTCCCTGTGCAGTGCCTGTGTGTCTGTGTGTGTGTATGCCTGTGGTGCCTGTGTGTGTGTCTATGCAGTGCCTATGTGCATGCCCATGTGTGTGTGCCTATGCAGTGTGTGTGTACCTGTGCGGTGTGTGTGCCTGTGAGGTATGTGTGCCTGTGAGGTGTGTGTGTGTACCTGTGCGGTGTGTATGCCTGTGCAGTGTGTGTGCGTGCCTGTGTGTGATAGTTGTGAGTGCACGTGTAGCCCACAGAGGGTGGGGAGAAAGCTTGGCTTCTGACTTCCATCCAGCAGGGAAGGAGGGCAACTGGTCCCCTTGGGCTGGGAGTCTGCAGCTGGGCCGAACCACAGGACCTGGAAGACAAGAGAGGGGCTGGTGAGGGCTGGGGAAGCCCCAGCCTTGGTCCTGGGCCCCAGCGTGGCTTAGGCTACGCAAGGGTGGCCAGCAGGTCCTCCCAACACCTCGGGCCCCAAAGGCTGGGCCAGATCTGCTCCTCCAGGCTTCTCCCCACACAGCGGGCCACCGGGCAGCCTCTCCCGAGTGCTCAGCTGTCCACAGGACTTATCAGAAAGAGGGAGCTGCCCCCCGTCGGGATATCTGGGTGGGGAGCTCGGTGGAAGGAAGACTATTAGTGACGTGTGCCTGCTGCCAGGTCTGAGGGGGGCAGGCACCGCATTTGCCACCCACGCTTCGGCAGACCAGCCGGGTGCTGTCAGCCCTGAGGAGGCGTGGACTGACCAGGCTGTGGCTGCGGCACAGCGTTAAGAAGCACCACTGTCCCTATTTATAGAAAGGAAAACAGAGGCCAGGAAAAGGAAGTGCCCTGGGCAAGTGGCACAGCCCTGAGTGTACCCTCCGGGCCCAGGCACACCTCTACTCGGCCACACTGTTGCGCATCGCCTCCTTCTCCTGCAGGGCGGCCATGGCGAGGCGCAGGTGCTCCTTCAGCTGCTCGATCTCCCGCTCCGACCGCGTCTTGATGTGGTTCAGCTCCACGTACACATCCTGGTACTTTCCTGAGGTGAAGCGCTTGTCCTGGGGGCGGGCGGGGGCGATAAGGGCACAGAGCCCTCCCTCCCTGGATCTGCCCACTCAGCACATGCCCACCCTGCTCCCTACTGGCCAGCACAAGCAGCCAGGCCGCTCCGCAGTGCCCAGGGCCTTCTCCTGCCAGGAGGCCCCCTTGGCGGCCCAGCCCTGGACAAACCCCTCCCAGCACCACAGGTTTCAGCACCATTTGCAACCTGCTCAACATGAGAGCGGAGGCTCAGGCAGGTGAAGCTTTTGCCCAAGACCACACTGCAACCGGTGGCTGGGAGGAGAAGCAGGTCAGCGTGGCCCAATACTTGGGCCCGTTCCATGAGTCTGACTCACACACTCCCCGAGCCACGGACACACAGAGGATGTCAAACACACAGGGACATGGCACCAGGCAAGCCACACACTCACAGACCTGGTCCTGAATCCCAGCCCCCCCGCCAGCCCCACCCTCACCCCCCGCTGGCAACGTGGCTTGTTCCCTGAAATGCAGGCTCTGCACAGGCAGGGATGTTGGCCTTTTGGTTCACAGATGTCTCCCCAGCACCTAGCACCATGCCTGGCACAGAGAGGTGCTCAATAAATATTTGCTGAATAAAAAAGAGCAAGTGTGGCCTTGAGCAAGTCACCCTTTCTTAGCCTCAGTTTCTTTGTAAATGAGGATGACACCTCCGGGGGAGAGGCAGGAGGAGTGCCTGGCACAGAGCAGGGGCTCAGGATGGGGCATCCAGCTGGATCCCGAGGGCCCCCCCCCGCTGACACCCTGCTTCAGCCAGGACCTACCTTCTGCATCATCTGGAGCTCGTCCCGGAGGCACTGCACCTCCTTCTTCAGGTACTGAAGTTCGTTCTCCTTCACTCGCAGCAGCACCTGGGGTCACAGGTGCACGCTAACCCAGGGCCAGAGGCCAGAGCTACCCAGCCGAGGGCACACCGCAGCCGGCCTTCTCCTTGCCTCAGGCCCCTAGAATGCAGCTCCCAGCCTGCACTGAGACCCATGACACGCTAGGGCACACTCCCCCAGGAAGTCCTCTCTCACCCACCCACACCATAGCACCAGGACCTCAACTTGAGGGCGAAGAAGAAAAAGGGAGCCATGGTATGGCCCTACTCTGAACCAGAGAAGCTGGGACTCTCTGCGGACGACCTCGTTAACCCTCCCCAAACCCCGAGGGGCAGGTGTTGCTGTCCTGACTTAGCTAAGGAGGAGACGGTTTCAGCCAGACTGGGGAAACTTAAAAGTTTAGACTTTGGAACCAGACGGCTGGGTTGAAATCCCAGCTCCCACACCAACTATCCGTGTGCTCTTGGGCAAGGTACTTGGCCTTCTTGTGTCTGTTTTCTTACCTGTAAAACGGGGATAGTTACAGCATGTGCCCCATAGGACTGTGAGGGAGACTCGGTGAGTTAAGAACCTCGGCTCACAGAAGTCCCAGGCACAGAGTAACCGTATATAAATGTTTGTAAAATAAAGTATCAGGGTGATCCTGGGATCATGCCCACATTTTCTCACTGCAACTTCTCCCAGTAAGAAAGGTGTGCGAGCCCCATTTTACAGATGAGCTACTGGACTTAGAAAGGCGAGGCACTGGTCCTGACCACACAGCAGATGGGTGGGAGGGCTGGACTCTGGCTGCAGGAGTGCAGCGCACACAGCAGGTCCTTCCCAGCTGTGCTGGCGTCTCCTTGCTGGGCCCAGCCCCTCAGGTGCCCTCCCCAGGCCTAGGCCCCGAGGACCAGCCGGGTGTGCCGGTGGGCACTTACCTCCAGCTCACAGGAGCTGCGCTCATTACGCCCACAGCCGCTGCCAGTGCCCTGTGAGGCAATGAAGCCGCGCAGCCGGTCAATCTCCTCAGACAGGCGGGCATGCAGCTCCTGCGGGGGCGTGGGGAGGGGGGATGGTCAGCGCAGGGCTGCTGGGC